TCCACAACACAAACTGCCAACCAGTGCATAAGGAGCTACCCTCCATAACAGAGGCTCTACATGAGGCAAGGTGAGAAAGCTGAGAAATGGGCAAAAAACCTAACCAATGCCTGAGGCCAAGTGCGCCACCTCTGCTGGTCCTGCCAGTTTCAATGACACAACTAAGACTGGCACTGCAACGCCATGCAAGATGACATCCACAAGTCCAAGCTCAAGCTCTCCCAGACTCTTAGGATGCTCTTGACCTCATGCCTTGGGCTAACAACAGCTATTTGCAGAGACAACGATCACAGCAGTGACAATGAGAATTCAAGAAGCTTTACAACTGATTTGGTAAATTCATAGAATCACAGGACGGTTTGGGTTGGAAGGGACCTTAAAGCTCATCGAGCTCCAACCCCCTGCCATGGGCAGGGACACCTTCCACTAGAGCAGCTTGCTCCAAGCCCCTGTGTCCAACCTGGCCTTGAACACTGCCAGAGATGGGGCAGCCACAGCTTCTCTGGGCACCCTGTGCCAGCGCCTCAGCACCCTCAGAAATCAACCAGTTGGAGTCCAAGCGGAAGCAATGTCAGCCCTTTTGGTGCTCCCATCTTCCCAGGAAGCAACAGTGGTAAATCCAAACGAGAAGATGAATCAGAAACTTCTAGTGACACATCCACCCTGTTCTAAAGATACAGCACAAACAAGAAAAAGAACTACGGGATCAGTGAAAGGGAACAATTAGCCAGCCGAATTTTCTATCAGGGGAGACTATCGAGACAAGGGCTTGGATAAATTAAGCAAATCAGGCATCTTGTAGTAAAAAGCATTTCCAGAGCTTTGTTAAAACCAAACAAGACTGCAAATATGAGCTCACGCATCACTAGGCACACACCACCTTCTGAATGCTTAAGGGTCTGACGAAAACTTTGCCCAGGGACAACAGCCCCACTGCTGCCCACTCCAGGCCTCCCTGGTGTCCCCCAGCACAGACCTTTCCTGCGAGCAGAGGGTGCTGGGGTGCAGCCCTGGTTTATTCACAGAGCTGACGTAGCAATGCAGACACAGATCCAGCTCATACATATCCCTGTTTGGAGCCTGCATAATCATCCAGCTCAGCCCATGCAAAAGCAGTATGAGAACACCTTCTGTACAGAAGAAATTCTCGAGATTTAAAGTTTCAACACAAGCTAACAAACGCCAGGGATGAAAGAAATCCTGGGATGAAAGATCTCCATGACACCTGCTTTGAATAAAAAGACATTGCTACAAAAATATCAGAGACCTGCTGGTCTAGAGCCTTTGCTACATGTCATTCCCCAGACATCAATTTGCAATGGAGGCACACAAAAGCAGTATTACACAGATTACATGCTACTCCCCTGAACTGCAAACAAATCTACCCAGCACTACCCTCTCACCGTCCAACCACAACTGAACTAAAGCCACCTCCTCTCGCTGTTCCTAAGATGACTTTGTGAAGGATAAGCCTCACAGCTGGCTCAACACTCATCTGCAGGACTGACAGCTCCTCCTGCAAACTTCACCCCGGCTCAGCTTTACCAAATCCTCCCAATTTTCCCTTATAGGGAACGGATGGTACCAGCACTTTGGCACTGACAGCAGGACAGCTTATCCTTGGTTGGTGTGCCCTTCAGGCAAAACCCAGGCCCATCGCCTGGACGCTTAAATCTGTAACATCAGCGCTTTCTACACAACAACACAACACATGGTAATTATTCAATGTTTCATTGTAACAGTCCTAAAATCAAACGGGGGAGGTCCCACCAAGCCTCTCACAGAACAGACACATTACAGATTAGGTGGGTCCCTAAACCAGAACAGCCCAGACCCCTTGCAGAGGTGACATCACGACCAACTCAAAGGAAGGAGGAAAGAGCAAGGTACCAACAAAGCATGGCTCGCTCAGTTTTATGCTACATGCCTCATTTACTCACTGCTGGCAGCTTCCACAAAATCAGGCTCTCAAGCACCTGACTGCATACATAGGTAATGATTATAAAGCCAACTCAAGCGGGGCTAAAAGTACACAGAGATCTAGCATAAACCCAAAAAAGTGCAATTGTCTCCCAGGTGAAAACACAGGACTTGGAACAGAGCGGGTGGATTAGAGAAAAATCATTTTGCTCCCAGTCCTCAAAATACTGTTTTTAAATTCCCTGACAGACCCAACATTGCCCTTACTGGGAAGTACTTGTCATTTAACTCTGTTTAACATTCAGACTACACACCTCTCCCATGGCCAAACACAAACACAACCAGCATCTGCACAGCCCTCAAGTGAGGAGCAGGGCAAGGTCTGGAGTATCCACAGCTCTCCTCCCTGGATTCCACACAAGGAAAAGGTTATTTCCCAACATTGCTTTTTGTTTGTGACAGGGCATAAACTTCGAGGGGATGGTCTGCTGTTGTGCTTGAGGAAATCAGCATGGTTGGTTTGTTATTATGATGGAAATCCCTCATTATCCAAGAAGTGCTGCTGTACTCTGTATGGATGGTTGTGTCCCTATAGCCAGAATGCCAGCCTGAGTGAAACCCCACTGCTTGGGAACACTTTCTCCCCAAGCCTCACCTGGGCCCTTCGTGCTCCTGCAAGCACATTTAAGCCTTTTCATCCGCTTCTTTCCAAAACAGGAAAAAGATGTGCACGTGATCGATCACAAAAACATCCATGAGGCACCATCTCAGACAAGGAGGGAGGGCACCACCAAAGCAGTACCCCACGCAGACACACTCCCTGTCCCTGTCCCAGCTACGCAAATTAAAACCCACTGGCCACAATCTTCTCCCCTTTTTTCTAAACCCAAACCAGACTCCCCATGGCTCAGACTCAACGTTTAACAGAGCCTCACCTCCAAAAGGCAACAGCAAGCACGAAAAGGGAAAAACAAACCCACAAAAATACCCCCCTTTGCACCCCCCAAAGGTGCAGAAGGGGAAAAGGGGACGAAGCACATGGGGAAGCCAGCCAGTCGCTCCCCTTTTCTGCCTCCCTTTTATTTCTGCTGAGTGTAGTAACACTTGAACTGGCTCTCTTTATTTGCAGCCGGATACACGCTTTCAAAGATACTGTACTACTGTGTAGGCCAAGCAGGGACTCTCTTTCTTCCCTCCGTTAGGGCTTTTGGGAGAAAAATAATTATTCACCAGAACTGCCATCGTGAACAGAGAAAGCTAAATCAATGTAGCTTTGTATGGGCCATTGCCACTGCAAAGCAAATACTCCATCAAGCCATGGATCAGTGAGAATTTTATCACTAGGAATCCTTACGCACATCTTTGTGTGTTTTTAATATCCCTCTTATTACTCGGTGTGCCCCCTCCCTCCCTCCCTCCCCCTGCTCCTGCACCCTCCTCCCCATGGATCTGTCTTGTGCCACTGGCAGCTACAGGGCTTGGCTGGGAGGTTCACATGCTCAGTGGGACCACCTCAAACACACAGCCAGGTTTATCCTCTTCAAAAATATAAATAAAGCGTTGGTGCAGAGCAGATGTATTCACTGAACAGGTTGATTTATTTAAGAGACTTGACATACATCAAAACCTACTATGGGCTTACATAATTGTTATCCATTTAGCAGGTCTGGTTCTTTTGTCAAGTATTTGTTTTTAAGAAAGTGATTCACTAAAGGCTGCTGCCTTACGGTGCACATTACCTTAAATGGGGTCTTGCGCATGGTGTTAGCTGAAGTGACTTTAAATTGCATCCTACCTGCTCGAGCAGCGCTGTTATTTTCTGTTTCTGTATTCTCCCCTTCCCTAAACTAAGGAAAACCGAGCAGCACGGCGTGTGTAGAGGCACACACATACAGGATCCACTTCCCAGCCGACTCTTTGCTGTGGGCACCGCGGTTACCGCATTACCACGCTGCTCCAGCGCTAACAGCAGGTACCTCCAGCACCGGGGAGGCACATCCGAATACCAGGATGTTGCTGGCTGAACGGAGGGGTTTCGGGCGAAGGGACGAGCAAACCGCCGAGCGGAAGCGGGGGGGGGGGAACCTCAGGGAAGGCTTCGGAGCCACGGAGCCGTTTTGTTTTCACGCAGAAGGCTCATTGAGGCCCCGGCTCGCACAGGCGCATCGCTCCCCTCCGGCCTCACGCATCCACCCAGCCGCCGACCCCCCAGAACACGCACCCATCCTGCGTTGTGCCGCCGCTTCCATCGCCGGTCCCGCTACAGCTTGTTTGGGTTAATACATCACCAACCGCACCGCAGCAGCTCGTTTGGGAGACGAGGGTTTCATTATCCATCCCCCCCCTCCCCTTCCCCGTGCCAGCATCTCCACGCACACACAGGTCACACCGCGCTCGGCGAGCACCGCACGGGCGGCTCAGCGCTGACAGAGGCACCGGAATGAAGACCGCACGGACCCAGCTCTCCGCCGCTCGCCAGACAGATGGTTAATTATATTCACAGCCGCATTTTGCGCTGGGATAGAGTTTCAGACAATGAGCCGGGTCCCCGCGACCAGCCGGCTCCCCAGTCCGACAGCGCAATGACAGCTACTTCAGCGCTGCGGCTTATTTCGTATTTTGTGGGTTAAATCCCATCCCATCCCCCCCCATTCTCCGTTATTTTTTGTTCACTGCGCGCACACCCCCCCCCCCTCCCGCCTCACACCGGGGGGGTGCCGCGCATCCCCGGGGCGCTGTGGGGCGGCGCCCCCCACCCAGCGCGGCCCCTGCCCCGGGGCGGGGTGGGGGGGACACACGCACACCACACACACGCCCGGACGCAGCCACAACTTGCGCGGCGCGGCCGCTTCACCCCCCCCCTCCCTTCCCCGTGCCCGCCTCACACCACACACACAGACACCACAGAACCGGCCGCCGCCACAGCGCAACTTCCCCGCAGGCCTCCGCGCCCCGCACCGCCGCGCAGGCCGGCGCTGCCATCAGCATCCCCCCCCCCGCCTCCTCCTCCTCCTCCTCAGCCTCCTCCTCCCCACAGTGTGTGTGTGGGGGGGGGGAAGCGCCGCCGCGGCGGGACTCACCTCAGCGCCGGGCCCGTGCGGGAGGCGGCGGCGGCGCGGGGCCGGGGGTCCCCCCCGCCCGCCAGGCGGTGTCGGCTGCGGCGCCTCAGCGCTGCTCCATGCGCCCGGGGCCCCGGCGCGCGCAGGTGGACGCGCCCGCCCCCCCCCCCCCCCCCCCCCCCGCGCGCGCCGGCCCCCGCCCCCCCCCCCCACCCCCCCCCCCCCGCCGCCGCCGCCGCCGCCGCCTCAGGGCCCTCGGCGGAGCCAGCGCTACCGGTACACAGCGGCCGAGCGGCGGATCACGGCCGGGACCCCCGCGGCGCGCCCGGCACCGCGCTCCCTACGGGGAGGGGGCGGCTCCCGCCTCGCCCCGCCGCCGCCGCCTCCTCCTCCTCCTCCTCCCCGTCCGCCCGTGCCCATTCAGGAGGTGCCGGGCAGCGCCGCCGCTGCCATTGTTTCCCTCAGCAGCGGGACCCCCACCCCCCCCCCCCCCAGGCCCCCGCCGCTCGGCGGGAGCGCGCACCGCGTCGCCACCGGGCATAAAGGGCGCGTGTCCGCGGTCCCGGACCCGGCGGCGCGGGGCGGGGCGGCCTCACCTGCCGCTGGGCCCGGGGCAGGTGCCGCTGCGCCGGGAGGGGAAGGAGGAGGGGCAGCGGGAGCGGGCCGGAGCGGCGGCGCGGGTAGGGCAGGGGCAAGGGGAGATGGGCGCCGGGAGGAGGGCGAGGCGAGAGAAGGGAAGGGAAGGCCCGGCCGGGCTGCACCGGGCCGTGGTTTACAATGGAGCCGGCCGAGCTCCCCCCTGCGTGCGGCCGCGGGGCTGAACGTGGTCCCCGAGCACGTCTGTCAATCCGGATTAATCCCCTAAAGCGCAGTGGATGCCAGAAGTGAACATTGGGAAAGGGACGGGAAGCGGGGTGAGGGGTGGCAACAGCTCTCCTGGTTTATTTTCGTTATCGCGTTATTAATGCGTAACAGCTTCTAAAACTCTGCTTTGCCTTCAGATGTTCATTCAAAGCAAGAGGCTGCCTCCCCTCCAGCTTGCTCAGGACTTGCCAGATGCCAGGGGAAGGCAGGGACGTGGCAGACGCTGCTTTTGCAGAACAGGAGGGCAACAGAAACAGGCACCGAACCCGAGCTCATCAAACACAGCCCTGCTGCAGGACCCCACAACAGCTTTTGGTATCGCAGCCCAGTCTCTGCTCCGTGACACCCCCAGCGCTGCCAGCCTCAGATTTACTGAGTTACTGCACTAAGGACTGCATGTTATTATAACATCTTGTTTACCAAATAGAAAGCAAACCAGACACGAGTATTTTAACTGCAATTGGAAAGAAGCAAGATGAGGATTATTGGTTTAATTAAATTCACTGTGATGTTCCTGTTCTTAAGTTAGTACTTAAGCTTATGCAAAGTTCTGCTGCCTTTCATCCTGAACAGTAAAAAGTTGATTTAGGTAATACCATGACTAAAATTATCAGGCACTGTAGTCCTTGTTCTCACAGCATCGGAGAGCCCTGTGTGCACATGTAGTAATAAAACAGGAATAGCATATAGCAACATATGCAATGCTCTCTGGATTCAGAACGCTTCATACACCAGCTTTCAGCACTGCAAAATAAGCAACTGATCTCATTTGTTCTGCGTTAGCAGCCAGGATATGCCATAGATGACATGCAAATAAACAATTCATTCCCACTGCAGCAGGGCACGCACCCTCCTGTAGAGACAGAGGCGAGCAGCAAGCAATTGGACTAAGGCCACAGAGTCACAGTCACAGCGGTGACACCTCCCAGCCCTGTCCTGAGTTACAGTTTTCCTCACCAGCATCACCACGTTGCTGCAGAAGTCACACACTTCAGTCCCTTTGCATATGTGTAGTCACAGTGCTGCATTTTATTTCATTCACCCATCGTTTTCTTGACAGAAAGATTGAAGTAACATAAATGGGAATTAATCAGGGTCAGGTGAGATGGTGACAGTCGCCCAGCAATGCTTGATAAAATAAACATGGAATCATGGAATGGTTTGGGTTGTAACTACTGGAAGCACCAGGACACAGACTCCTCCGAGTGCCTTCGGAAGGGAGGCAGTGGCTGTGCTGTGTGCAGGGAGCCTGGCAGATACAGCCAGCTGCAGAACACAACCACACAGATCAGATGCAATGTAAGTGTGAGGAGCACCATCATGGAGATGAAAAGCCACATTCCATTAAATAAGCACTGCACCTGGATCCAGTTTAGAAGACAACCCAAGTATTTAAATGCTGTCTTTCAAAGAGAATACAAAGTTCAAAGATTATCTTTGTAGCTGTGGTAGAATATAATCCACACGCTACCCATTTAAGGCACTTCAGTTACAGAACTACCACAATATTAATCAATCAGCAGCATAAAATCCTGCACAGCATCTTGGGCAATCTGAAAAATTAACAGTCTGTGCACTGTGATCTTTTTATGTACTGCTACAAACAGATGCAAGAAGTGCACTGACATGATGGAAGTGCAGCTCCACACCTCACCTGGGTAGTGATTTTCCAGGCTGTCAAATGAAGAGACTCACAGGTGTGAGAGCAAGGTGAGATCAACAAGCCCCAGAACGAGGAGCAGCCACGATGCCTCGCTCTGCCCTGCCGCACACCCTCTGCTCCCCTGACCTCCCTAAGGCAGTGGCATCAGTCACTACAACCTGTGAGACAGACCACATCAGACATTTACATCTGTCCCATCCTCCCGGCTGCCTCCACACAAAATCTGTGTGCCCAGACACATGTGGAAGGAGGAGTCAGAGTCTAAAGTAGCAGAACCTGAGTTATGGCAATAGGCCAATGCCATGGTGCTCTGCAGTTCTCCAAGCACCTATTTCCTGATTGTTCCTTCTTACTCTGATGCCTAATTTTCCTGAAGGTTAAATCCTTAATTTGGCACTACTCACTCATGCCCCATCCCTGGGGCCCCAGTGTCCAAGGCCAGGTTGGATGGGACTTGGAGCAGCCTGCTCTAGTGGAAGGTGTCCCTGCCTGTGACAGGGGGCTGGAACTGGATGAGCTTTAAGGTCCCTTACAACCCAAACATTCTGTGGTTTCTGCCGGATGCAGCCCCTCTGCTAAACAGTACTGGAGAGAAAGGCAGAGGTTCACAGAAGATTCTGGTTTGCCTGTGGCCCAAGTACAACATGAATATGATTTTCAAAGATCTCAAATCCTATGCTCCTGAGCAAGCCTGTAAAACCCAGTTCAAGCAGGAAGCTGCACAGATGTTATGAACTTTAAAAAAGCCGGAGCAAAAGGCAGCAGAGTACCAGGAGACTTCACCCTCCTGTCCCACCCCACCACAAAAAGCAGGAGAGAATTTCTCCCTGCACTTCATCAGACTTTCAGGACCAGCTTTTGAACATGAACAGTGTAACACAGACTGCTGGCAGAACAGGAGGCACCCCATGCAGGGGGAGCTTTGATTTAGGTGGGTGAGGGACTCGCCCTCCCTCCTCCTTCCTTCCTCCCCAGGTCCAGATGTGCAATTCAGAACTGGCTGTATGCTGCAGGAAATAATGCTGAGCCTGCAAACAGCATTTTATTCTTATTGAGGCTGAATTCCTGAAGAAGAAACAGAGCTGGAATCATCAAACTGTCATATACTGAATTTCTCCTTCCCTGCCTGTCACACCTGGCAAGCCTTAGAGCTTTGTCAGAAAAACATCAAACCCCTTCCCAAGACAGTTCTTCATTATGAACCCCACTGATTGCAGAAAGGCTCCCACAACACTCCTGTCTCTTTGTGTCCCCCTTTCAGCATGCTGAGAGGAGCTGGAAAAACAGTGCTGCTGTCTAGTCTGTACCTTCTCTTTGCCCTGATGTGTGATGTAAAAACTCAAAGCTGTCAGTGACCTCTCTGGGCAAGACAAATTTCCAACGTGCCTGACCAAGCTATAGAAGGCAGGAGGTAAGGAGGGTCCCACAGCAGATTCGCAGGCTGCTCCATTCCTTGATATGCCTCTTGTTCCACTGGTCAATCCCCTCCACCTCAAAAAAGCCCCAACTCTCCCCTGTAACTCCTTCACAAGGCTAAAAACCTCATTCAAGTCAGAAAGCTCCAGTAGGTTAGTAGCCTCTGAGGCTTCCATGACCCAATACAACATTCAAGTTGTGCTACTGATAGGCTCTGATCCCCCCATAAGTCCCCATCTATTTCTTAATTTCCCTTCACCTTCCTCCCAACATTTCAACTTTAAATTGTAAATCTTTGTTTAAATTGTGCATTAAATGTCTTACCACATTTCCACAGCCAAACACCTCATTATTGGTGGCTTCTGAACAGGAGGAAATAAAAGCTTATATTTGTCCCTTGGCCAAGACAAATGCTTTGCGGACAGAAGGCTCTGTGTTCTCTCATTTCCTTGGCAGGACTAACAACCTTGGCCACTTCAGGGGAGCCTACTGCATTAGCAGGGGGGAAGGGAAAAAAAGAACAAGCAAAAACCAATGAAAACCAACCAGCAACAACAACAAAAGGCTCCAGAATGGTCTGGTGTGGTTGCAGTGAGACAGAGCACAGGTTAGAACAAAACCTGGAGACAGCAAAAGGATCAGGGTATGTTAGAATGGAGAGCTGAGGTGAAGGGAAGAGGGGCTGGTCTGCTGAACAACAGCTTCTGAGACAGCACAGCCAACTGCAGCAGCAGAGCTGTTTGGCTCCTGATAGCCTTCAAGCTGAAACTCCTGGTGCTGTATCACCATCAGGGTCCCAGAGCCCCTTTCGCACCCCTGCATCCTGTGTCCCATCAAGTCAGAAGGATGAGTATGAAACAGAGCAGATAGATCATAGACTACCAAGGTGAAAGGGACCTCAAGGATCATCTGGTACAACCTTCCTTGGCAAAGCATGACCTAGACTAGATGGCCCAGCACCCTCTCCAGCTGGGTTTTAAATGTCCCACCACCATAGATGGTGTTCACTCCCTTGGTTGAAGGTTCCTGCATTTCTGTACAGAGCTCTGGAGTTGTGCAGTGAGCCCCACGCAGCCTGTGCACCCCATCTACTGCTCAAGCATCAATCCTTGGTCCAGCACATCTCTGGAAAAACTCAGACCTGCCCTGGATTCGTTATAGATCCACTCACAGCAGTAAATCTAGTGACCAGATGAGGGTGGACACCTCTGCTATGTGC